ATATATATATATATATATATATATATATATATATATATTATCCGCAACGCAGGCACGTAGCCAGGATTTTGTTTCGGGGGGGGGGGGGGGGGGGGGGGGGGTGGAGCGCGCCCATGACAAAATGCTGTATGATGGGGAGGGGGGAGAGGAGGTCCCAGCAAATTGGAGGATTTCGGGAGGGGGGAGGGGAAAAGCGGGCCCCATGCCCCCCCCCCCCCCCCCTCCCCCGGCTACGTGCCTGCCGCAACGATTGGAAACTATGCGTGGACAATACCCTAAAAATTCGAAACTTGGGAACTCGGTATTTGTGAAGTAAAAATAATAATTCTCAAAAGTCGAATTTGAAGTTCCCGCGCGATCCGCACCAGTGCAGTGATATGAAAGATTGAGTCGTCCTGCAACTCGAGTTTCTCTCACACCTCCGTGTCGTGTTCGCCCGCGTCCCGCGATCGACCGCTCCGCTCCGTGCGTGCTGCCAACAGCCATGAGCAGACGACGCTTCACTTTCAAGTTTTAAGTTCTTTTAGGGCTCTTTCAGCGATCTCAATTTGTTTCTACGGGTGTGAGGTCGAAGGGAACGCGCAGTGGACTTTTGTGAGCGACGTGAGGGGCCACGTCGCGCCGGTTCTCCCTGAAAGGCTGCCCCGGCGGAGTCACAACCGAAACTACTGACACCAAACCCAGTTGTTTTGACCGTTTGACTATTCCCTTTTCCAAGTCTGAGAAGTCGTCGAGCACCTAAAAAAGAGAACTTTGTCCGATTATCCGACTCATCGATCATCCTCAGTGCTACATGAGTCGAGGGCCGCCACGTTTTCCGATGGAGGATAAAATGCCAGGAGGCGACATCACTCCAGACTCCGATTTTCGGTATTCCAAAAAGAAGTGCCGTAGTGCTTTGCGTCAAAAAACATGCTTTACGAATGCCGTTATTAAATATTATAGATATGTCGCTCACAAAGCTTCTAAATTTCACAACCGATTACGGCACCAATAAAAAAAACCCGAAAAAGTAGAAAAAAAACACGCGCACGCTTGGGTAGGAATTTTTTTTTCTTTCTTTTTTGCGCTGTATCTTTTGCGTGTTTATGACTACCTGCATCGTTCTTGATAACAAAAACAAATACGACATTTGGAGTGTCAGTGCCCCTTTAAGAAAATACTAATGCAAGTTGAGATAGGCTAGTGCCAGCATGCTTCTCTTCGTTGTTGTTTTTTTCTCCCCCTCCCTCTCTTTCAGGAAGGTTGACCTATCTTTCGGCTATTCCTACGAACTATTGTTTGCCGCTCCCACTGTAGCCTATGCATTACCGACATTTTTGACAATACCTAATCGAATAGTGGCCACGACCCAAGCTCTACTTCTAAGCGAGAACAAAAAGAGGAAAAATGCTATCGTCGCTCGAGAAACATACGGACTGTGCTCGATTTGATGGACAAAAGACAAAACACGTGACCGCCTTTTTTCTCGCCGTTCTCGATTCTCGGTGGTGCTTCCGTCGAGAAATTCCGATAACAATGGGCATTTATCGAGTCGGAGAACGAACCAGCTGTATAGGTCTCCCTCTTGACGACCAGACCAAGCGCGTATTTTTTTTTTCTTCGCAGCCCCACATTTTAGAAGAATCGCCTGATAACAATCGACATCCCTCTGAAACCTTACTGACTACTCGTACTTCTCAAAGTTCCTCACTTGCGCGGCTGAGAGGTCTTCTCCAACGTTGGTATACGCCAACCTGTTTAGTCTCAATCTCGAAACTGTGCTTCCTGCAAAGAAAACGATAAAAAAATATATATATCCGCAAAACGAGTCAAGAAAGCGTGCAGATTCTTCCGGTCCTTACGCAGCACCTCGTGCGTTTGTTTACCTGTCCGACGCTCCCACGTGTTTGCGTTGGCCCCGGCGACCTCAACCGAGGAAGGTGTGCGTTTGGCTGCATAGTCATGGCGCGCTCGCTGGGCGTTCTCTATGTTGACTTTTGATTGGCGTGCCCCTCACGTTTCGACACGCCAAAGACGATTTTTGAAAGATTTGCTCGCCGCATAACACGCTCTCAGAATTTCTGGCATGTTGCACGGTACACTTGGAGCGCAAATAATCGTGGCAGGTGCTGTTCGCTTCCCAGCATGATACGATGAAGTCAGTTCGCTCGAGACTTCCCAGTATATTAGGCCGTCATCTAGGAATGTTCAGCGTGGGGAACCAATGGAACACGAGTGTTGCGTCAGACGTCCTGCTGGTAGTCGGGTTCAATCGGTGCCTTTGCGAGTTTTAGCCGAACGCTGACGGATCACTCTTGTCCAATCTGTGCTCCGCGCTGGCCTTCGCCAGATCACGTAGGCAGCCCAGCACAATGGCCTTCACTCTAAAAAAGTCTGTGCGTCTACTTCCACGCACAACACTCCGATAGCCAATCAGCGCAACTTTCGGAGGCAGCTCAGCGAATGACAATGCCGAAACATGTTTAGACAAAAAAAAAAAAAAAAACGCAGTCTGAGTTGTTACATTAAACAATGCAAGCGCGACGTTTTGCATTGGTTAATGCAACAACTCAGATTGCGAGCCCACAGTACGCGGGCTCCAGGGAGGGGGGAACAAGAACTGGTCTACTTTGACATGTGGAATGAAGTATACTAAAATGCAGTTGGTGCGTCTCTAAATGTGTATAAAAATAGCTCGCAAAAAAAAAGAAGAGAAAACTGGGATTTAGCTGAGCAAATATGTCAGTCAGAAACCAGCCCCGCCCACGTCGTAGTTCAGTTTATTTCTTGGCGCTCGCCGGGTCCTTATCTCCCGTTTCGTACCTTGGTCCTATGTAAAGCAAACAGACAGGGACACAGAATTTCACGAGCTGGAAAATAGACACAGGAGTGGAACGAAGTAGGGTGAACGATACAGAGGGAGACCTCCAACAAGAAAAACCAAAGCAGAGATCTATACCACCCCCCCCCCCTCCCCCCCACACGCACACGCACACGCACACACGCACGCACGCGCACACACACGCACGCACGCACGCACGCACGCACGCACACACACACACACACACACAAAGATTGACCATCCCAGATAAACCCCCGCACCCCGAAAGACAACGTCTGGAGCCAAAACTGACAACGGTTGTCGGTTCCGAACAAAACTCCAGACTTCCGTGCCGTCATCACTAGTGCTTGAAGTCTCCCTTAAGTTGAGGGGGGTCCTAAGAAGAAAGGAAGAGGGCCGGGGGGGGGGGGGGTTCTGACGAATGGTATTAGATGCACATAAAATAAAACCGACTGCTGACTCTGTCCCCACCGTACCTGCAACCCTCAAATTGCTAATCCCCAAATGTCACATCCATAAAAACAAGCTATTTTATTGCAAGATATGATTTTGATTTCACTAATGCTGGGGCTGTGGAGGAGGGTCCCAGACCATCCGTTAAAATCAGTGGGGGGTCCCAGACCCCCCTGAGACGCCCCAGACTTTGAGCCTTGGTCACCACAGTAATATTCCCCCAAAACAAAACGCAGTCTCCCTCCCCATTTAGAAAACAGCAGAAGTATAAGCTTCTCAGCGGAGAAGACACGCATTCCTCATACGCCAAACTAAACAGTTAAAGGAAGCCCTCCCACCCAACATGTGGGAAACATTCCCGAATTTCGAGTACAGCGAGCCTGTTACCCGATGCCGACCGACAAGATCTCGGGCTGAAGAAGAGTCCCCGGGAGCCAGGAAGCCATAAATACGTCAAACCAGGGTCCCGTTTCTTCGGCGGGGGTGCACAGACCACAGACACCAGGCCGCTTCCTAAAGCTGCAGTCGCACTGCTCCTACATTATACAAAAAGAAAAAGAAAAAAAAGAAGAAGAAAAAAACACCACACAAAGACGGTCACCACGATACCGGTCTGAAAGCCTTGCTCCCTTTCTGGAAACCTCGTTGGTTTTCTGACTAACCACTTAGGAAGACACCCTTTTTTTCCAGCAAAAAAGTTTGGACACTTGTCTGCCCCCGACACATGCGCGACCACTGAAGTGTTTTCCTCGGTGGTCAAGCTGAGATCATGAAATGATTTTCGTACTTGTACTAGATAATTATCTCGATAGGCTGCGATTGATCAGCAAACGGTCTGTCCAGCAAGTCCTTTTGATGAAATGAGTGACCGTATAGTCTAACCACTGAAGATGAGCGTGGTCCTTCGCGCGACTGTTTTATTATCGAATCAATTTTGCTTCCCCCACTTGAGCACGAGCACGATATATTATGCACGCGGGAGTTTAACTTTTTGCACGGGTCCGTAAAGTACGTCTTTATTAGATGAGCGAGAGTCACGGAGCACACTATTTAATAACTCGTTACTTCTTGAATGTTCTAACGTCCTTCGTTACTTTTTGATGTAATTTGACATTTCTACACAGCTCCAAGTGACAGATTGCGGCGATTGACTTCTCCGTGTCTTGCAGGGAACTGCTAAATGCGCGCAAATATTTTTTTTTTAGACGCAACGTGCATAAACACGCGCACGCACGCACCCACGCGGAGGCAAGAAAGACCCAAGAGTTGCGTTCCCTCAAACACGAACGAAGGGATCCGAAACAAACAAAAATGTAGAGCGTGAAAGGGTGATAAAACGCCAAAAGTAAACACGAACAGAAGAAAAACGCGTAAATTCGCTCGGCGGTGAAGCCGACGCTACGCGCGGAGGCGACCCATCATAACAGCATTCTTGTTCCTGTAATGGCCATTCCCTTGGCCTGCCGGCTTCCACCACGCCATCAGCTGAGCAAGGTAGAACATAAAAACAGGACCCTTCAAAAAAAAGGAAATGGACCAAACATAAAATCCCAACCTGCAAACAACTACGAAAGCTGAGGGAGAGGGGGAACACTTTTGAAAGAGAGAAGGTGAAAAAAGAGGGCAAGAGAGACACTACCAAGTGAAAAACGAAAACCGACTAGCACCCAAAGCAAAGACCGGCAGGTTTTCATTCTCGTGCGCGCTCTGCGTCGTCGAAACGCACCAATCGCCATTCAGCTGTTCGCAAACGTAAGATGACGTGCCGGGCCACGTGACCCCGTTTTTGTTGTAAGTTTTGTTTGTTTTACCCACTTCTTTCTCTCAAGCTCTCTAGCAGCGAGTGGGGGAGAGAATGGAAGAGGCGAGGGAAAAAGGCGAGGGAGCAGGGAGCGAACGGCGCCCCCAAAGAAGAGAGGTGAGTTGCCGCTAGCTACACCGGCTACACCGGCTGCACTCGGAACAGGAATTCGGGGCTTGAAAATGTTTTCGCGCCTTGGCGCGCTTCGTGCTGGTCGGTGCTTCGGAGCGGCTCCTTCCTCGGGTGGCTCGTGTTTGTCGTCTGCAAACATCGACGCGTGAAAATCGGGACGAAGACCACTGCACCCGTGCATCTCTCCCGGGAACCAGAGGCAACAAGTGTTTGGCCGACGACGCCGCTTCGGGGTTTTTTTTTTTGCTCGCCGCTCGTGGAATGTCGTCTGCTTCTGCGATCATGGAGTATCGTCTGCCAAAATGATGAAGTGGAGGGTTCAGAAGAAGAGGGCCAGGCGGGACGCCAATCGTGCCTCCAAGAACGACGCCAGCAACGGCGAAGAGTAAGCTGCCTTTTTCTTCCTCTTTCTTTTTTTTAAGGGGTTTAGGAGACTATATTGTGTTCCGCCCTCAAGTGAACGCGCGGCGTAGGTATGCTGAGCTCGAATGGAAGGTGTGACTATCGCGCGGGCGGGAACGTAAGCAGTGCTACTTTGCACTCCAAGGCTAGAATAAGTGGTAACAAAACTCAGCGGGACTGAGCATCTTATTACACTCTGTAAGAGGTATTCCTTAGCTATAAATGGGAGCACAAACCCTTATATTTCTTTGAATATTGCTCGCCTGCTCCGTTTTGTTTAGAATCCAATTTCCAAATAGTAAACGGGTCTTTTCCAGTGTGGCGCCGCTGCCAGCTTACAGATTGTACCATGGATTGGTGATGGCGATGTATGAGGCATGTGCGTTCGCGCTTCTAGCCTCCGCTGGCTAACACGACTGTCCACGCGCGATACTTAGTCGAACTCTACTAATCTCGTTCATTTGTTTTCTTGCGCCCTGTCTCACCATATCGTCCCATTTTTTCGATCAGTTACATCTATAACACATGAACCCGTCTCCACTCCTGCAGTCGACGGATGAGTTTAGCGGACGCTCCGCCGCTTCAACCGCGAGCTTTCTCCCTTTCGTAAAACGTGGTCGGACGCGCAGTCAAAGCACCCAGCGCGAGCTGGAGGAAGGCAACCAGCGCGTGCTGGAGGCTGAGGTTCTACTGAATTCTTAGCCTGTCACTGACCGTTTGTCAATACGCCCTCTAGTCAGCGTTTTGATATTTAAAAACTTATTTTGTGATATCTATTTATCTGAAAATATTGCCAGACACCTAGACGGCGTCCGAAGAAAGGGCGAGCACGGTATAGCATGTACAATTAACACAAACAAAGAATAACATAACGTCAATAACCTAACAAAAGCAACACTCGAAACACAGAAATGAAAAAAAAAAAATTCTATGGCATTAAATGATTTGTAACTGCCGCGACAAAGCAAGTAGTTGCGAGCTGATTGATGATGCTGAGAGGTAAATTATGCCATTCTGAACAGTGCGGGGTACAAAAAGATATTTGACTTTTTTTTTTCTTTATATAGCGGAATTATAATGGTTTTCTTGCGCTTGCTGCGTGTCTGCCTGGATGTATTGTATTGCGCGTATTTTTCAAATGTAAGTTTAACATCGCCACTGAGTATGTTGTAAGGAAACTTAAGGCGAATACGACTACTTTTCCTGCGTGTTTTGAGTTCAGATATGTTTGACAGTTTATTCAGTGGATAGAGGGAAGTCAGCCTGTCGTAACGGTAGCGTTCATGTCACTCAAGATGGGGGAGACAGCTTCCAAGGCGGGGCTTCCGCATCCAAAGTTGGTCAACTGATTGGTCACTGGCCCGAGAAGATATCGGCAATCGGGTTTCTGCTTTTAGTACAGGTCATCTCGCTGCGGGTGGCGTTGCCGCTGGGGGTTTACGTTCGACTTTCCACGCGTGCAGCTGGTTAACTTTACCAATGTTTCCGCGGTGATAAACAATATATGCTCAACTATAAAAATAATTGATCGGTAAATTTGGTACTTCTTTAACGCCTGGCATCATTCACGTGCCGTGTAACTAATTAGTTTGGTTATCTTACACTCGCCTCCCACTCATTATTTGGCACCCCTAAACATTCGTAAACTTCAGTAACAGCTGCGGCACTTGAATCTTGACATTGATAGTTCATATTGATGAGAATTTCAAATAAAAAACGTAGAAGCCGAAAAAGAAACACAAAAAACGTCATATTGTTTATGTTATAGGCTATCTTTGTCCACTGGGATCTGGAACGCGTTCTGTTCATGCGCAGTAGCTCTCTTCCGCGGAATGGCAGACTCCACACATTCGTCCACAGCTGGGTGACTCGGCATGTTTGAATGAACGACAAACTCTGCTGTATACTGCGCTTGATCCTTTAGAGCGCAGCTCTTAGGCGCCCGTTCCCCTGTTCCGCGGCGTCGCCGTCGGCTTAACCGCGCGTGTTGCATTATGGGACGTCACAGACCTATACACCGATTCAGTTCCCCGCTAAATTTAGCGAAGAAACTGAATTGGTGCGTAGGTCTGTGACGTCCCATAATGCAACATTGCGCATTCAGTTTCCCCGCTACACTTAGGGGCAAGAATCAAGTCACATGACCTTAACTCCAAATTCCGTTTCTCCGCTAAATTTAGCGAGGAATTGAATTGGTGCTGATGGCACGTGACGTTAATTTTCCCGCTAACCTTAGAGGGGAAACTCCAGGAGAGAAGGAGAAGGGGGGGGAGGGTCCTCCGCACCCTCCCCTCCCCTTTCTTGTATAAATAATATTGTATATATATATATATATATATATATATATATATATATATATATATATATATATATATATATATATATATATATATATACATACAGTCGAATCTCGTTAATTCAAACTCCAGGGGGACCGAAAATTTGTTTGAACAAAGCAAAGTTTGAATTAACGGGAGTTTCCTCCCAGACACATTGGATGGGACCTGCATGCTAGTTTGAATTATCCGCAAGTTTGAATTAATGAGAGTTGACTGTAATTTATATTATGTACGCAGGAGTATGAGGTCTATATTTGTACATATAGATTTTTCTTCCTCAACTTCATTAGCACGGTATATCGCAAAATCAAAATCGCTGCGTCTAATTTCGCATTACAGAGATTTATAAACTTCATTCAATTTTTTTTTTGCTTTGTTTTGTTCTTTAGCAATGTATGGAGACAGTCTACATGAAAAAAAAGAAAAGACAAATCAGTACCAAGGATTTGCCAGATTACATTTTCACATCGCTGGCCACCGCGAGGAGGCTTGTACGAATCCACTCCTGCGACCTATACTCTGTTTCACCTTATGATGTACCACGATGGATGCTACGAGCTGCAAGAAACAATCCGTAGTTCGTAGCTTGTCTCGTGACCTCGCGCTCCCTGCGTCGCTCCACCCAACCGGAAGGGCACGTGACGCCCTCCGAGCTATGAATTGCTCCTCCTAGCGTCAGTTGCGGTCCATCGTAGGCTGAAACAAACTATAGAGGAAAACGAGTTTTCAAGCCGGCAACACTGAAGCCGAGATTAATCTTAACGGGTATGTAAAACTAACCAAACTTCTTTTCTTTTTTTGCTATAGCTTGTTTATTGAGTCGTGTTTTTTGTTGCCACTTCGTTTCAAACTCGGTTTCGGGCTAACTTCGCTGTTTAGAATTTGTATTTCTTATCTACGTGGCATTCAGTGGGGCCGAGCCAACACCACTGTAGATAGAAGTCAGTTCTGCTGATTTTGATATGTGACCGACCGAGGGCCAGCGCGGGGCACCTATTGGACATTCAGCTTTAACTCACGTCCAATCACTGAGAACACGAGTCCGAGCCGAGCTCCGACACAGCACTCGTGTCCAATGTCTAACCCGAGTTCGCCCTCTGAAGATGGCGTAGATAATTCAGCACTACGGCGTCCCATCTGGGTGGTTTTGGCCGAGCCATCTACGACACATTTCGATCGTTCTGGTCTCGATCCAACTTGGCCGACGAGAAGCCCCGAATCCGAAGACGATCTTCGAGCGTGAAAGAAACACGCAAGATCGAGCGAGTACACACCGTAGCGTGGGTGCCAGAAATAAGAATAACACCAAGCACCGTCGATTATGTTAAAAGGCAATCTCTCCCACGCTTCACCGTGAGAGGGAGAGAGAGAGAGCTTGCTCGACCTCGGCGGTCGCCTCCCACCACGGATTCAGCGAGAGCACGGCTATTACGAAAGAGAGGGGTAAAAAAATGAAACGAAAGGAGTTCAAGGTTTTGGTCGCACACGATCATCCTCCGTGTATCTCTCACCTGGGGGGACCCAAGGATGCTGTTCCGCGGACTCGTTATATTGTCGTCGTCGGCGTGAGTGGTGGCAGCTGTTACACGATCCGCGAGCGTTATGCGGGAAGGTTATGCGGGAATATTTATGTGGGGAAGTCTGGGCGTCCTTCGGTGTACGAAACGCGCGTAGGGGCTGAGGATGGATCGGAGGGAAAATATGAGGCCGATTATGTAGATTGGGCGAAGGCAATTGGGTCAGCAGCCGTTATGGAAGGACTCACTTCGTGTTAAGCGGTGTTCGTGTAAAGTGACATGCCACAAGGAGGCTTGCCAGCCGCACACAAAAAATGTGAACGTGCCCTGCGCTAGTATATAACCAGACGCATCGGAACTATAACCCCCCCCCCCCCTCCCCCTGTTCCGACGCCACTGCTAGTAGCGTAACCAGGGGGTAGATTTGGGATTAGGGCTTAATCCCCCCCTCCCGACAGACACAGACACACACATGCATTATTTCTTCCCGGACGAATCCTGGCTACGCCTTTACCCCACGCATTTGCTTCCTTGATCACCATGACTTGCAGTTGTAGAAAGGACGTGCAGCCTGAGGTTGAGCCTGGAAACACAATATCTGCTCTGAGACACTCGACAGGATGCTCCACGACTGGAGTGTGCTGCTGCGAGACGCCTCTCTTCGGTCGAATAGGCTTCCCGAGGATCGTCATTTCGTTTGGTTTGCGGTAATTGTTCCTCCGCTTGGACTGTGGGAAAGTTGATGCGCCAGAATACCTTTTAAAAATGTCCGCTTATTCCTGCTGTAAATAAGGTTTTTCTTTTCGTTTTTTTCGGGGTCGGTGGCTTTCAAGTGTTTGCTCTTCAAATGCTGTCCCTGTGTACTGATTTTTTTTCTTCCTTGTTTTCTAAGTTGGAAGTTAAAGTCAACCCACTGAAACGTAATATATACTTCAAGCCCCTATACCCCAACACCCAAAAGGAAACAAGAAAAATAAAAAAAAAAGTCCATTCACTAAGGTATGATGGCAAAAAAGGGAAATTTGGGCCGGTTGGTTAGAATAGCGTCTCAGCTGAGAATGGGTGAAAGAAAGCACAACAAATGTTGCGGCGCGCTAGCGTCTTGAGACGCGGTTCGAATCCCGCTG